AGAACATGTGTGCTTGTGATGGTATGATTATAAAGATGGATAAATAGTAAATGAAGGCCAAAAGAGTACTCGTCAGAGACAAAGCAAAAAGGAATATGGGGTAACCAAACATGTCTGTTAGTGGGTGCGGACATAATATTAGCCGTGGTTGTATGATCAAATACAAGACAAATGGTTTCTTTTTGTTTTGTTACATAGCGTTATGGTCCTTTATCCTTTTCTACCAAATATTTTTATCGAAATGTATATCTTGATTTGGTTTATGATTGTCTAATAAAATTACAAAAAAACAAATAAAAAATGGTTTGAACATCGTTCTAGCATATCAATGGCTAACACATTAATGACCTTTCTAATAATTTTGACATGGCCCCTTAAAACCAACCCGTGAATCGGATTGATGGTTCCACTCTAAAGAATAAAAATAAAAGGCATTAAAAATTTATAATCATAATATCCCCATTTTCATGTCTATTGATTATTCTATCTTTACCTACAAAGAGATTTCACATTGGAATTTTCCTCTTTATTTTAGCAATATGTGGATAGAAATAAATCAGCATCCCATACCTATCCATCGACTGATACGTTTCACACAATGTAAATAACGGTCCAAAAAATAAAACCAAAATAATCTCTAATATATATATATATATCCCAAATATCACAAAGAACCTTCACTTTTCTCTCCCACTCTTTCTTTAAATTATACAACTCACACATACCTCTCTCTGTCTATATATCACTTTGCAATAAACCACTATTCAATACTCACATAAACCATGGCCTTTTCACAAGCCTTCCTTTTGCTCACATTGTCTATGGTTTTAATTCATTTCTCTTTGGCTCAATCTCCCATGATGGCTCCTTCCGGCTCAATGTCGATGCCGCCGATGCCTAGTGGCCGCGGAAGCTCGGTTCCTCCAGCGATGACTCCACCACCTATGCCTATGATGACTCCACCACCAATGCATATGGCTCCGCCACCTATGCCTATGATGTCT